TGGAAAATAGTGACAGTGATGACTGATGATATAGCAGAAAGCGCAAGAGTTTGAATCTCTTATACCGGAGAAATCAAGGAAGAAATACGAATCACAATATGATAGGTATACATTCATGAATTGGTGCCACTCCGAGATGGTGAATATGTATTCAGGAAACGTTTTACTGGCTCATTTTGGTAAAAAATCGAAGACTTTGAAGTCATCAACTCATTGGTCTATATATATTCGATGGTACGTATATACATGCTCGAATGTTAAAGATAATATCGGAATCAATAGTACCTGAAACTTATCGCATTTCTCAAGAAACAATCGATTGGATATAAAAGAGAGAAAAATCCAAAACATTCACCGCTGAATATACCAACAAATTTCTACAAGAAGCTCCCGATAAAGCATATCTGTTGAAAACGATGAATTATACTTTATATTGAAACTCTTTGTTATCATCAGAAAGACAGTGTATCTTTATTTTATTGCATCAATGAGTAATGTTCAATTTGATTGCAGAGTTTATCGTACTATGGCTCAGAGGTCTGAAGCTCAGGTTGCCACGCTGGTGGTCCAGTTTCAATTTTCGGTAGGCCCGACATTTTTCTTCTGGTTTGTCAGTCATTTCAAGTTTTCTTTTTTTATTTCCTCTGGACATATAAGATAATATGGATAAGAACTTTTTCAACTATTTCAATCGCTCATACTTTCAAGGCAGTTATTTCCAAAAACTGCGTTAGTAGAAAAAATCTTGTGTGTATATCGAGCACAAAGTGTTATTGCCGCTCTCCAAAGATTACCGCGCTCCGCTCCGCATCGCGCGGTAACTTTCTTTGTTGAGCGGCAATCTATCACTTTGCGCTCTAAATACACAAATAGCTATACTATTAGGTTGAGTTTTGATAATCCTAACTGATGTCATTCACTAATTTGATAAATCATGATGTGTCGTAAGGAAAATTTTGGAGGAAATGTGGCGACGTACGACCCTTACTACGCCACTGGTTGACGAAAATAAAAAATTGAAACTCCCTGTGATTACTCTGATTAATCTGGATTGGTTTTGCTACAGGGGTTCTGGAGAAATTGATGAGGTAAATCTCAAATTTTATCGTACTTTCGACACCCTGTATCTCAGTGAGGATGCATTTTAGAACATAACGTTGATAGGATCTTTTCACCTCAAAATGAGGTGAGGAATCCGTGTACGAAGTTTGTCGGTCTTATTCTGACTCACCCTGTGTATTGTGAAGACATATTATTTGAATATCCCTAGAATGCATAAATACAGAATGGCAACGAATTGATTCTGACAATGTTCAAAACACTACTGTGAAATATTTGCGTCAATATTCACTACCTACTGGAAAAGCTATATCACTATGAAATCCATACCTATTATTGTTAAAGATTTCGCAATATAATGATTAAGTACTATAGTTATTTTACCCGATGAAATAGAAAACAAATAAAGGTGAACCATTTTTCCAATAAACTGATAGGAATTTCATCTACTTATCAGCTTGATAAGATAAAATAAATAAAATAGCGAGGAATCAGTCGTAGAAATTTTGATATATTGAAAAGAAGTGAAGTTCAACAATGAAATTATTCCGTTCAGGATTATATTCTTTGGCGCTGTTGGCAAGTATGTTGATAATATACAGTATGTTATACTCTACATGAATGTTCGCAGTTTGAATAGTGTAAAAATTGTTGAAAAGAAGATCAAATAACGTTTTTCTTCTTTTTTAGTCATTATTGCCTTATGCACAGAAGAGGTCGAAGGAAGAAGAAAGATTTTGATGGGGAGAAAGTCACTTACAAGAACCTATCTCCGTATGTATTTATAAGTATTATTTTGATCTATGATAAAAATTCTGTAATCTGTCAAATACAGAGTGGTTTCTAATATGGTTAAATTGGCAATGAAATCGCCCTTTATTGTTACCATATTTGGTTTTCTTCAAATTCACCCTTCAAGTGTTCTATTTATATATGAATAAACAGTTGATGTAACTTCTAGAAAAACTGATAATGTGGCATAGCATAAATTCAATCTGACATCTGACCATATTCATCAAACCATCCCTATGAGGAAAATTCAATAGAGCCCAGAGGCGTCGATAATGTTTTTTCTTGGGATATTGGGGGGTATAATGGCTTTTTGGTATAGGTAATAAAAAAAAACTCGTTATATACGGGGTGATCTATTGAGAATGGGAAGTCTCTGAATGAACCACACATAGTAAATACCAAAATATTGAATGTTGCGGATTGAAAAAAATATTTTAAATTTCTCCATACCCTTGGTCAAACATATACTTTGAAATTCTGTTTGTATTAGGCGTTGTTATAGTGCCCAGGCAACCAGATGACGAATGATCACGTCACTGTGACGTCCCAAATTGGTGATTTCTCGTCAGAGACGTCACACACCAATTTATGACGTCACTATGACGTACTTTCCATGACGTGATGAACACGTCATCGTTTCGACGTCGAGTGAAACGTCACTTAGATGGGTAAAAGAAAACGTCAGTTTCATATGACGTTGCAGGGACGTCCTCTGTCGACGTCCATTTTTCCCAGACCTTCTCTAAACCATGGATACTTATATATATATATATTATCATGTGAAACAGAAGTTATAACTCATGAAAGCAAATCAACATGCAAGTTTCATTCTAATTATTAATATACTCGAAAAGTAGTAGAAAAACTTCTTTCTAAAAAATTTTGACACACTGTATATCTCGGAAACCAACAAGCTATGTATATATAAAAATGATTGTTTAGGTATACCTATATTACTCTTATAACGTTGCAGTGACGTATCTATGACGTCTAAAAATCACGTCGGTGTGACTTACTAATTTGGTGAACTTCGTCATTTAGTAAATTTTTCAATAAATTGCTATTTAGATTTTTGTTGGGTGACAAAAAATGCATCAATATACATTATTCAACAAAGTGAAGCCAAATTCGCCAACATCCTTTCTATTGCTATCAAACTATTCTTTGTTTGCTTACATCTCGCCGACACAAACTACATAATTTTTTATACAAATACGAGTAACTGATTACATTCTGATGGAGATGCATACTGAAGGATGGCGCTGCTGAATAGGCGATTGAATGAATATAACACAGGAGGGACCCACCAAGCAGACTCAACAATGCATAATCAATATTATTTCATGTCATCAGAGGCTAGTGGTGTTTATCACACCATGTTGAAGGAATCTTTTTTACGTATCATCGCCAATATGTCATCAGAGGCTAGTGGTGTTTATCACACCATGTTGAAGGAATCCTTTTTACGTATCATCGCCAAATTCAATGGTCATTTTGACCTCATTATGACGTCAGTCGGACATCAGAGTTTGGTGAGTGAATGACGTCAATACGACGTGAGTAATATGACGTTATTGGGCTGTGACTTATTCACGTCATTATCACGTCAATGCTACGTCAACTACTAACGTCACCTCGGTCATTCAAGTGACGTAAAAAAGACGTCACTGGAACGTCATCTGGTTGCCTGGGTGATTGTCATTATCGTTTAATGCCTTTTTTCCACTGTCAATAAAAATGTTGAAAGTGAAACACAAACTTCTTTAAGAGCGAATAACGCAAAAACCCTTATTAGAGCTAGACAATTTGAAAAAGGGTTCAATTGTCATGTAAAATTGAGTGAGCTTTCAAATTTTTTACTCATTTTAATCATAATTTGATGATCTTTGGTAGAAGTCCATTTTGCTCGAAGGGAAGTGAAATTTTTCAAAGGAAAGAAGGAATAATGCTCTCCACCAATCTTAATGATGTTGTTACTCAATCTTAAGGGACATGTTTCGATCTTCTAAAAGACCATCTTCAGCATAATTGAAAGTTCTACAATACAAAAAGATTGATGTGAAGGAATTACCTACATTATTTGTTCTTGACTTACTTGAAGTTGGAAAAATGTGTGATGCTACTAATTGTGGAATTGTTGTCAATGCACATAGTCGAAAAATCGAGTTTATAAATGAATCCAGCTATTAGGGAAATAGAAAAGACAAAGAGCAAAATATATGTCTTATTCTTCTATCCACTCAAACTATTGTAATATAGAAAATAGAAAAGGACATACATTCAGCTGTGTCCTAACTCTTATCTACTTGACTCAAATATCCATTACATATCCAATAAATTATTAATCTTGGGATAGTTTCCAATATTTTCCAGTTTTCATGCCAATTTTAATAGGACCACCTACCCTGATGATAATGTCATTGACAATTGCAATTTTTCAGGTGATAATGCTATACCTGCTTATGCTATTGTGATTCTTGTTGGAATTGGAGAAATAATTCTAGGTGGGATTATGTACATTGTGATGAGAAAAATCATAATTGAAGCACCACTGACAGGTCAATATGCAATAGCACCATCAGATCCATGATTCAGGAAATTTGAGGATTTTTATTTTATTATATTGATTTGAATTAAAAGGGATGTATATAAAAAATTATATTTTGTATTTTTTGTTTTCCAAGACCTTTTTAAATGATAGATTGGATTTCTAAGCAATAAGATGACTTATCTTTTGATAATATTTGTATTTTATAATTTTCACATTAAAAAACTAAATTCCTTGTACAAAAAAGTTATGTGCCATGAAAACTAATCAAAAGCAATGATAAACATTTCAAAACTGACAGGGGTTTGAATTCATCATAATATACAGTATGATGCAAATGTATGGAATAAATTCATTATTTCAGAAATGGGCGACATTTGGAAAAATTCCAAAAACACATGAGTTTCAATTTCTGAAACCTATCTCATGATATTCATATGAAAGATGTTACGTCACCGGTGTTGGAGTAAAGACGTAATGGACGATTTTTTCAAATACAAATAGGGGTCATGTGACACCTTGATTGAAAGGTCTACCGATCGTCTATTCAACAGTCAAAATGTTGCATAAGAAGATTGAAATTAAAATGGATTATCATGTGATTAATTTAATTCTCTGCTACTGAGAATTGAACATTCGAGGGTCGTCTAGTTAGTTAAAAAAATACCTAGAAAAAAAAAGTTATAAACTCTAGTTTTTGTTTTTTTTTTGAAAGTCGTCTTGTTTTGAAATGAATTTATTCCATACATTTGCATCATACTTTATGTGGATAACCTAAAAAATTTAAATGAAGAACTATATTGGGTGTCTCAGATTCCCCTAGACAGTTGAAGAAAAATTACATGATAACATTTCTAAAAAACAAATAATAGGTGTGATGATAAAATAAATGGAATATGTATGAAGGTCAAATTTGGGATACCCAATAAATTTTGCTAAGTATAAATTTCATCAAACAAAATACTTAGATTAAGGAGTGCACATCACCTATAAAATCTAGTCACTATCAATATTGATTTCTTTTAGTTTATCCCAATGCAGTTCAACAGTTAGGTTTTGGTTGTTGTGATGTATGACATCAACAGTCACAGGGGCATACAGATCTTTATCCATTGGGGACCAACCAGTATACTGCAAATTAAATGAGTTTCAATAACCAATGTGGAGTAATGTTCCATACAAACACAATAACAAATTTTCAATTTCAATATTTGAAAGTAACAGCAATAAATCTGAAAAAATAAGTAAAACTTACAATGGAGGTATTCTTATGTCTCACTTTGCTGTCATCATCAAAAGCTTCATACTTTTGCAAAAGAGCTTTCCCATCAATTCTCCAGATGGATGGATGTTTTGCAGGGTCACCAGCTTGGGCATCTTTTTTCAGAATAACAAATGAACCAGTCTGAAAAAAAGAATGGCAATGTGTATGAAATTATCATGAAGATCCATCACTTTCAACAAAAATATGATATAAGGTTTCTGTAACATACTGCATAGTCTTCAGAGTAGATAGTTTTTGGTATAAATTTCCTATGGATTCCTTTGGAAATTGGTACAGAAGCTGTAGTTTTATTATCTGAATTGGAGGTTTTATTGGTCTTCTCCTTTGGGCTACTTTTAGCATCTGAAGTACCCTCATCTTCTTCATCTTTGTCCTTCTTTGAAGATTTCTGCACAACTTTCTTTCTGTTTACCCCATTGTTAGATTTTCGTTTCCTTGGTTCATCATCAGAGTCATCACTAGGAGATTCTGCATCAGATGCTTCTTCCTCACTACTAGTTGTTTCCACTACAGTTTTTCTAGGCTTTTTGCTAAGCCTTTTGCTAAGTCTTTTGGAAGAGCGTCTGTTTGGTTTCTTCTGAAAATCCAAGCAAAATAATTATGTGGAGTTGAGTGTAGTTGTTGTGTATACATTGGTTGAACATAATAGTGTACAGCAAATTATATTACCTCTTCCACACTATCCCATTCATCACCCGAGCTTTCATAAACCTCAGGATCATCTTCATTTTCAGACAAAGCGGTGTTACTCATAGTAGTTGCTGATGCTGGAAAAATACAACGATCCTATTTGAATGTGAAATACGCCATCTACATTTATGGCAGGCGAATGGCAGGGCATGTAATGCATGTTAAACATGTAAAATACTCTAGTTTCATTTGGATATAAGTTTGAACTAGGAAAATCATTATTGTCTACCATATTTCAATAAAGAATTCATAAATACCTGCAGAAATTTAAGAAAAAATGCAACTCTTTCGTATTTTCGATGGCGGCAAATGCAACAGCATATAACACCAAACACCGACCGAACGCCGAAGAGACAGACAGAGACAGAGTGACCGACGGAGAAAAAGGAGAAAAACAGACGTTGACGTAACAATCAATTGACAGATGACATAGCATAGCAAGGGTGCCAACAACAACAGTGTTGTCATGTCACCGCAAAAACTATACACCCTGAGTGACTAATCATTAATTCATTGTTGCTTCCATTAACTGTCATTTATGTTTATTTTTATTCAAGGACCATGATACCTTTATGCCTTTATGCACTAGAGGGTCCCTTGATGAATCCGTCATCTTGAATTTTCCTAGTTTGACTAATCAATCATTATCTCCAACCCCAGAAAACCCCAAATACCTTTCAATTTTGAATTGAATCGGATGATAATAACTAAGATATCTCAATAATAACAAAACTCGTTCGCCATAATTGTGATCTTCCTATTATTGAAATGTTGAATGGTTTTCTGTAGCGCCCATGGATGCAAGTGACGTGACTGCATGCACCACCTTTTTTAAATTTCAAAATCTTCTTCTTGATCAAAACATAGTCCTCAGCGTACTTAGCCCGATGAAAATATTTTACTTCCATCATTGTTATAACATTCAGTGATCACAATCATTCATTCATATTGTTTTCAGAGTCTAATTTGAACATACGACTAGAATTTTCAGAATTTTCAACTACATTTTGGAAAAAGAAGAGGAAGAAATTGTTTGTCTGACTTATGACAGAATCGCGCCTGCGCAAATCACAGATATTTTAGCGAATAGTTAATGAGATAAAATTCAAATTAGGTGCATGAATAAATGAACGAACGAGAATACTAAGCTTTGACTTATTAGTGGAATCGTTAATTATTGTGAAATTATAGAGATTAATAAAAAAGCGGTGTGCATAAATCCACCTTTATCTCTTGCATTCTCTTGTTCTAACGATATTCTCTGAAACATTTCGGCATTGAGATACAGTGCGTTGAATGTTACGATTTTTCAACGAAAATTGTGTACCTACAAATTTGCAGAGCTGAAGCTACCAACAATAATAAAAAAAATTGCAAATCCAAATCTCAATAATAACGCTACATACTAATTACTTCTGCTGAAAAAATACTAGATCTAATGCTAAACCAGAAAAGCGACAACATTGTACAGCATTTTGCCTGAATCACAGAACAGTAACTTATATTGGCGGGAGAAATCGAGAAATGATTCATGGGGAAAAGCTTCCGGTTTCGATAAGTCTGCCTCGCCTCCACAATTTTATTTTGTATAAAATAATTAGTTATCAGATAATTCGTGTTGATTCATAACTTTGCTAGTGGTGTAGATAGTAGTTTATGTCGGTGACTCCGTGCATTAAGCGTAGTCAGAGATAAGACTGTGGGTAACTTATCTCTGTAGTTTTCTGCTAGGCGATGCTAGCGACGAAACGTGTGATGTTATCACTGGTCAGTGGCGCTAACCAATTCGAATTAACCAATAATGTCCAATCACGTTTCATCGCTACCATCGCCAAAACTAATAATAGCGAATTCCATTGGTAAAACTGGCTCGCACTGAGTGCATATTTTGTATTCCATTGGTAAAACTGGTGTCGGATTTTGAATTCCATTGGAAAACTGGTTCGCATAGTTTAGAGCTCAGTGCAACAATTCTCGCACGAGCTCTAATAGGTCGTGCGAAGTCAGTGCAGTTTTGAAAATGGCGGAAACATTGAATATGCATGGTTTAAAAACAAAAAATGAGTGGCAATCTAATCATCATCATCAAGTAGTGATGAAAATTTGGAGGTTTCAAGAAAATAAGAGAGATTACTATCATTACTCCCCAGAATTCATTATTTTGTTGAGTGTTTTGCACTATAATTCGATGATGAAGAGGTACTTATTAAAAAAACTGATCAAAATTATTTCCATGAAACATCTACTTTGTTCTTAATTGAAGTCAAGAAAGAATTTCAGGATGCGGACAAGTTATAAACAAAGACAAACAAATTTATCCGATTTAACCTCCAACAATAAAATTTTATTATATTGTTTCGTATTCCATTGGGAATGCACCAGTTCACATTTTGGAGAGAACTAAATGGACTGTCTGACGAGTACTACATGACTGTCCAATCACTCAGTTCAGTGTATTCTCCACCAGAGGGGTTTACTTGCCGTCCTTTGCGGAGAAGTCATTTGTTTAGCTCTCATTCGGTTGTTTTCCAATAACTTAGGTTATATTGGATTATTATTATTATTATCAAGTGTCAAAACTTTGTCACGTCAGGTCCCTGATGTGTTCTGTTGAATATCGATAAATTCCTTTACTTTTTCGGATTTTCATTCAATCAAGCATTCTTCTTTGTGTTTAGTTCTGGTAGTTTATTTATTCAGGTTTGCTAGTTGTGTCTTCATCATGTATGTACAACAGCCTTGTAGCGTATGAAATGAAAGGTAGAATAATCGTATCAAATATCGGGTTTGCTTTTTCGAATCTCATACCCAGTGATAAACTCCACAGCAAGAATGGTCGAATTTAATTTTGGAAGGCATTGGTAAGAATATGGTTTTTCATGTACACTTTTCTGATGATTTTCAATTTCAGCCTCGATTCTACCATTAGAACACTAGTGTTAATTCTGGTGTTGAAGTTTGTGTCAATGATTTTGGAAAACACTATAGAGTGATGATCAATAGCACTACATATGGCGACTTATCAGGATGGGGACATACATTCAGAAAGGATCGCTTACCATAATTATTTTCAAGGTATGTTTTAGTCTGCATTGTTGTTGCTTACCTAGGTAGGGTAGGTGTAGTATTGTTGAAAACTGTTTCATGTGTTCAAACTTAGATTACCATATACCTACAGGATGGGCATCCCAAAAAGCAACACCAAGAATGGGAGAGGAATGGAATTTAAGGTATGCTCTTTGAATCCCAGAGAATCATCAGTCTAGGCCAACATCTGGAGTTTTTTTGAGTGCCATAACTACAATTTGAGGTATTTTGTGTTCCTGCTTCCTGGCAAATATCACAGAATAATGATACTATCAGAGATTCTCAAAAATGTTTTTCACTGCTGTGATGATTTTGTCACAAAAAATTTAAATTAATTATTTGGCCTAAATTTATGTATTATGTATGCCCATCTATCAATGAGATCCTATAAAGCTTTCTTGTTTTCTTGATAGAAGTATGAGATGGTATGTGAAATAAGGTAAAATGTTGTCACTGATACTAGCCCACTAACTATAGTTTCCCCAAGTAGATCTAAGAAGATGAAAAGAGTGCAAACTCAACTTTTGAATGCATATAACTATTTCTATTTCCACAAAGTTTTGAAAATGGTTGAAAATATGGATTGATAGATAGATATAGATGATATGTATAGAAAGCATTTATTCAAGTAATATAATAATTTTATTCCATAGACAGTCACCATAATAAACAATTTCCTTTTCCATCAAATTAGCTGATGATGAGCTTATATTTGAACTTAAAACATGCTTCTTCACTGCTGATTTCTGAACAGATAATAGAAATTGTGGGATACACAATAATATATCATCTTCCTCTTTTATTTCCAGTGTCCAAAGGATCTCCAGGTAACCTAGCTTCATCCTCCAAAGTCAAGATCCCATATCCAAGCCGTTTTATATTCATTGTGTTGCCATCCCCAGAACCTATATAAAGAAATGTTGCATTTAATGATTTTGAAGATGACATAGTTCTATCAATTTTGCAATACAATTTATCTGTATATCTGATATGAAATATATAAGTATGAAATGATAAATTGACATTTAATTTGCTATTCATGGAGATACCTGATATTGTAGTTAAAATGCCTGATTATTTTTCTGCACCCTCACCTAATTAAACAACTGTTCACAAAGCTCACCTTATATATAGTAAATATTCTGGTTATGCATAGATAGCATCATCAGAATTGAATGTCTCCAGTCATCATTCAATCAAACCTCATGAAGAGTTGCTTCAACATTGTGTTGAGAAAATTCAGTATCTTCCTGAAAATACAAATTAAGAAATATAACTTGAGATCACAGATTTTGTGAAACAATATTAAATGTTGCAGTACATTTCACTTTGAGAATACAGCAGTATCTGGTTATTAGGGCTACCATATGGCTCTTATTAGGCAGTTAAAAATTCAATCAATGAAATAATTGAACATGTCCTTACCTATTCACGAATTGACGAAGATGATTTCCACTTGAATGGCATTATTATTTATGCATATAATAGCGTTATTTGGCATGAACACTCCTAACCACTTCATTTTGTTGGCCTTTTCACAGTTTAACTTGGTATCTCGAACAAAGCTCTCCAATCTCGAGTGACAATGAGTGTCAGGTTGACAATAAGAAAATGTGTCAACAAATAATGCAGGATCATGAATGCAGGTTATGTTGAATAGCTCATTTGACACAGGAAATAGATGACGCCACTTGCCGTCCCTTCAAAATTTCATTACAGGGCGATTTGGCGATTTTCGCTGAATGAACAGTCATGTATAACCCGTCAGACAGTCCATTTAGCCGTCATTGAACTAACGTAGTGTGGGTGCAAAACTGGTGCAAAACCAGTGCACCACCAGGTTTACGAATGGAAATAGCTCGCCTAGCAGAAAACTGTTTTGTGTCTCATTTGTGTAAATAGTAATGTCAGATATCTGTCAATTATCAATGTCAGTTCAATTTTCAGATTGTCAGATGAATAAAAAATAAAATTGTTTTTATTGTTTTTATGATTTTATTTGTTGTTTATGTTTATTTGTTTATTTGATTTTGAAGTATTGAGGTCGTTTATCGAAGTCAAATCGGTAATATAATTCTTGAACTTTAGAGTAATCCGTGAAGACGGACTGTGATTGGTTAAAATTTGGTAATATTTTCATGAACACTCTTGTGAAGTAAGCACAAGTCTTCTATCATTTCACGCACACGAATTCCAAAGTTCAAGATTAAGCACTCAAGTCCAAACTCAACACTAGAAACTAGGAAAATCGGGAGATTGGAAGATTTCACATTTCAGCAAGTGCACCTTATTTTTTGTGGAAAAACATGTCCGTTTTACAACAGGTTTGACTACTCATCAAAATGTTTAAAAAGCCAGAGGCTACTTCAATTTTGTTTTAGATAAGGACCATTTTGAGACCAGGGTATAGAGTTGCAGCTGTGTCATCAAAGAAATACAGTGGACATGCAGAGCCAATTACAAATGGATATAATTTTGGTAATAAACAACATCTGAACACTAGTTTTAAGGCCTTAAGTAGTCTTAAGAGATTAAAAACTGTGCAGCCATTTTCGAACCATCTATTTTACACTATATAGATTCTTCTCTCAGCTCTATGCAAATACTTATCATTCCATGAAATAGGAAAATATAAGTTTACCTTCTTGATCAAAATTATGTTAAAACCAGTCAGAACTCTGAGCAACTAGAGTCTTACACATTGTTTATGGGGGCACATTTTTTAACATTCTTCACTTTATGTCTCACTTTATCTCTCCTTTTTTTGCTTTGTCAGGCCACCTTGGTCAGGCTTTTTCATTGGCATTTTCATTGGCCATATTTCATGGTCATTTTGTTTCAATTGCTTTTTCACCCAAAAGCCTTATATTGATTGGCTAGTATTTATCAGGAGGTTTAACTAAAAAATCTTTTTCATGAACAAGCCACAAATGAATTAATGGAAAGCTGATCTTGTCATAGAATAATTGATTTTAAAAAATTACCTATGAAGAAATCATGTAGGTATGCTGGATTTTTTTATCAAGAATATTTTATGTAAATTTGTCTTCTGAAAATCAGAATTGGCAAGGTGAATTGAAGGTAGTTATTTTTTAAAATATTATATTTGGTTACTTTCAATTTTTGACAATATGGTCACAAATGGTGGACATTTTAATGAGAAAATCAACTTCACTCAGCATATACATTGCATTGTTCAACAAAATATTCATCCTGATTTTTTTGTTCCAGCACTGACTGAAACACAGAAGGAATTTCAAGAACTTGCCAGAAAATTCACCAGGGAAGAAATCATTCCAGTTGCTGCAGAATATGACAGAACAGGAAAATACCCATGGGATATTCTCAAAAAAGCTCATGCAGTGGGTCTAATGAATGGTCATATTCCAGAGGAATTTGGTGAGGAATTTTATAACAGAATTTTGCACATATCACTCCCTGTATATAAAGTTAAACATATATTTTCATTTTTCTAGGGGGTATGGAATTTGGAGTTTTTGATGGATGTATTGTAGCTGAAGAAATAGCCTATGGCTGTTCAGGAATTATGACAGCTTTGGAAGCTAGTGGACTAGGTGTAAGTAAGCAATATTTTTTTTAAATTGATACATTTTAGTAAGAAATGAAAATCTTTGATTTTTAGTCAGCTGAAACTCAAGTTGCTTTACTGTGATCATCATTCAATGATAGCAATACAAAAATTTCATTAAAATGAAGAAACTTTTGAAATGTTATTTTCATATTTTTTTAATATTCAATATGATGTTTAATCCTTTGAAACTCCTGAGATGGGTAATTTCCATAGGGGTTCCCTCATTGATCCCAATAAATAAACAAAGTAGGGCAGGAAGAAATTCTCCAGCAAAACTGTAAGATTTTCTTCCTCTTCACTCCACTGCAAGGTGATAATAATAATAATAATAATAAGATTTATTGATCACAAGAAACATACATACTTATGGAGGGACATAAGAAAAATAAATGATTAAACAAAATCAACTCTGATGGTTAATATACAAAAGTTAAGTTTTATTTATCCCATTTCCTCCACTGGAATCACTTGGTGTGTTGTTTTATTTGCAACTTTTCTGATTGTCAAAAAATGAAGGAAAGACAAAACTTTTTGAAAGTAGAAAACATTTTCATCCTGATGTTCACAAGTTTATGATTCTTTCAAGTGAGATAGGCTTCATATCTTCATTTTCTCGATATCAGAGAACTTTCTCTAATCACTACAATCACTGCTCCAAATATGCAATGATTCATTTACTTGGTTTTTAACTCTAGTATCATAATTTTGCAATCACTTGGAGCCCCAATATACAGGGTGACATAGAAAAAAGTACATTGCATAGTGCCACACAATAGAGGACACTAAAATAAGGAAAAAAGTTTCTATGAACATGGGTCCGCAAGGCCTTCGGTTAAAAGATACGGGGTGTTGAATTTTAATGGAAAAATGTATTGAAGTACAAGGGCAACAATTTGAACATCTTCTAAAAACTTAATGTTTTGTTCTAATTAATCATATTTTTCATCATACCATTAAAATATAATTGTTGAAGTATTTATCATTGTTTTTGCAAAAGTTACTTTGGCGCTTTTTGAATAATTTAAGTGCATTGTCGGCTTTTAGATGCATTTTTACTGGAACCATTGCTTCTAGCGACTTGGACAAGGTATACCTTTCTTAAGTATAAAAGAAGGGATAGCAATTTTTTTCCGTCGAAAATGACATACAGTGTATAGCAAAAAATTTACGACCGATTCAATAGGGATGGAACCCTGTATGTAGCGCCCTCTATCAGTCATCATAAAACTAAGATCATATTTTAATTTAGCATGATAAAAAACCCCTTCATACCACATTTTATCCATTTTTTGCATATCTGGCTAAAGATATTCAAAGAAAAAAAAAATGAATAAATTCAACACCCCCTATCTTTTAACCAAATGCCTTGCGGACCCATGTTCATAGGAACTTTTTTCTTATTTTAGTATCCTCTATTGTGTGGCACTATGCAGTGTACTTTTTTCTATGTCAGCCTGTATAAATAAAACCTCCATCTATAATATGTCAATGCTCTAATGTTTCTTGTTTTATTTGTAAACGTCATTCTCTTCCCACCACCCTTACCAGAATGGAACAATTAAAACGCAACTAAAGTATTGGTTACTAGCAGATCTCGTAAACGTTGTTTTGCTATACAGGGTGTTACTTAAAGACATGCTAATATTTGAGGGGATGATTATTTGACTCATTTTAAAAAGAAAATTTCATATGAACGTATGTCCTATAAGTCTTAACTTTCCAGATACAGGGTGATGAAGTTTTGAAAAATATTCAGTTTTTTGATAATAACTGAGACAATATAGTATACATCTTAATGAAATTTGGTACACTTCAGTGGCGGCTCGTGACTTTCATGACAGAGGAGGCTGAATGATATGAGATTTATTGTGAAAAACAACTCTCTACGACTCACCCAAATCAATAGCTTTAATGACATTCTGTTTACCAGTTAACCTGAACTTGATACTTGAAGAGATGTGTTCCTGTGATTTCAGATTTGCAGTGTCTATCCAATTCGCGAGGCAAATTCTTCAAATCATTATATTCTAATCGCCTCCAACATGATGACTTATCCGTTAAAAATAATACGCAGTACCAACAAAATAGCTTATTCCTTACTTCAGATCCCGTCAACCAGGTATATTTTTTATAATTATCAGAATTGAAAGAACGATTTTGTTTGCTACCTGTTACAATAAGATTTTTTAATTCCGGTGTCGGACGTTTGTTTTTCACAATCAATTTATCTTCATAAGACAAAGCACTGAATGGGTTCACCAAAAAGTGTTCCACGAAATCGCAATCGTTCAAAACACTCATTTTTCAGAAATTTATAGAGCCCCTAACTATTAACCTAACATAAACATAAACAAACAATGCACTCACTCGCACTGGATTGTCCGCAATTCGCGACGCCACACGACAAACACGTGCTATTCGGGCGTATTCGGGAATTTGCATTGCGCGCGTGGGTTGCGTGTTGTGAAGGAGTCTAGCCTCCTATAGATGTTGCCAAGTTGAATATTTTACGCGTGATTTGCAGACTTCAACGTGTGATGCGTGGGCAAGCACTGTTGCCGATTCAAAAATATTTACCTAAAGACAGGAAATAAAATCAAAATCCATGTATTTTGGTGTCCTTTTATTGAGAAAGTATAGATAATATCAGTTTAAGGAGAATGTCTGAGGAGGCTCAGCCTCCGTGGCCTCCTCTGAGGAGCCGCCACTGGTACACGTGTTTTATGCATCAAGGTGCATTTTCTGATGTACAAACATTTTCATTCTCTCTACCAGTGGCACCGTTACGGGAATATGATTGTTTTATATTTCAATTAAAAGTGAGCAACGACAAAATATTTTTAAGTTTTATGCAATGTCATAAGAGGCTATTTAATTATGTACAAAAAAGATCCTCTTGTTGATACTCGATATATCGCTTTGTTTTCGAGAAAAAACGGAAAAACGAGACCAGACATCAAATTTTCATGTCTGAGTACTCCATTCAGGACATCCATTACTGGATAACCACAGTATGTAACATTTTGAAATTTTTGCACTGTTTCAGTCACATAGCAGACTGAATTTTGCCATCACGAAAAGATATACAGGGTGGACAAAAAATAATTTGCCTATTTTCGACATTGGCACCCTGTATCTCAAAAGTTAGGACGTTTACGATATACGTTCATATGAAATCGCCCCCTTGAATATTAGAATATCATTAAGGAACACCCTATATACATTATTTCTATAATATTTTTTTTCAGTTCAGTATTCATCAAGACACTATTATTATTTTATTTTTTACTTCTTTTTAGTTTGGCTATTTATAAAAGCGTGTTTCATTAGTTTTTCAAATTACCATTTATTTCAACTTATATTTAGTTCACTTCAATTTTCCAATTTTGATGAAAGAATCATGATATCCGACTCCTAAAACCCCAGATGAAAATTTTGAATGGAATCGGCACATAATTACAAAACTCGTCCGCAACATTGGATCTACCATCTTGAATTCCCTAATTTTGATCCCGAAAAGGCCCACTTACAAATTTAAAAATCGATAGATAATTACAAATCTCGTCCAGTATATTGGTTCCACCGTCTCGAATTTCCAAATCCCGCCCTTCCCAAATTTTGACAAAAGAATCATAATTTCCGGCCCCGAAAACTCCTAGATAACAATTTGGAAGAGAGTCGGATCATAATTACAATACTCGTGCGTCATCTTGAATTTCTTAATTTTGATGAAAGAATCGTAATCTTCGACCCCGAGAACCACCAGATACCAAAGTTGAATAAAATCGGATCCTAACTACAAAACCCGCCATTTTGGATCCGCCCTCTAGAATTTCTTAATTTTGACGAAGGAACCATAATCTCCGATCACGAAAACCCCTAGGTACCAATTTGGAAAAGAATCGGATTATAATCACAAAACTCGTCCACCATATCTTGAATTTCCACATTCCGCCCGAATTTTCAAATTCTGACGAAAGAATCATAATCTCCGTCACCGAAAACCCCCAGATACCAATTTTGATTAGAATCTGACCATAATTACAAAACTCGTCCGATATATTAGATCCGCCATCTTGAATTTCCTAATGGTACCGGGATAAAAAGAATCGTATAACCTCCTGGTTCTAAGCTACCTCCCCACCAATTTTCAGCCTAATCAATCCAGTAGTTTCGGAGTCTATTCAATACATTCAAACAAACAATCAAAACTTTCTTCTTTATAATATTAGTATAGATTAAAACATGAAAATCTAGTAATTCTAGATATTTTAATGATTAGTGGTTAGACCCATGTCAAACCCAAATCGACCTTCATTGATTTTTCATTAATTTGATGAAAATGTTGTGGGATAATACCCAAGAAACACAATATTTTTAGATTTAGTACAGCATTAAATTATGTAAATTTGGTAATTTCACCAACTTCTAATTTCTTTGGGCTGACTGGAGTGGAAAAGTATGGTCTGTGGTGTACACTGTGTTCAATTTTTTGATGCTTTTGTGTGATCTCAGTTATCTTTGGAGATGTAGTGTTGAGGGTTTCACATTAACATCTTACTTTTTTTTTTTTAATGAATAATGCTGCAAACGGAATTTTCATAATGAAAATTCTTATTTTTTCTGCACCTCCCGTATCTTGGTCATTTCATAGGCAGGATGAGAAAAGTGCCTTATATAACTCCGTCCTGTACCTCAAACACATGAAAGACTGTGAGAATTTTTTTTGCGGCATCATACGTTTCACAAAATAGTAAGATGTGAAAACCTGGACTGGACACACTGTACATCATGAAAGTATAATCACCATCTCCAGTTTCAGTGAATTATTTGACAACAAAACGTGAATAACTGTATTTTGATAAATGCTATTTTTACATTGGTTGGACTTTATCAATAGGTACATGTATTTGTATTTGGCAAATTATGAAAACACACCAGAGTTCATGAGATAAGAGATTTCATGTAAATTCGGTTTGTTTAAATGATTTCGCATTAAATAAAAAAGTCTGAGCTATAGACTGGCCGATAGTGACAGTTTGTTTTTGCAACGTTTTTTTAATGTATGCAAGTGTCAAGTAATGATTTTCCTGGGTTGTCAACATGTCCTAGACAATTATCAGTTTGTGTTCCCATGCAGAGGCTTCACCAATCAATTTTGAATTTCCATGAAAAATGGATGATTTTGAACGATTAGTAATTGCATGCAAATTGGTTCTTGTTGAAATTTGAAAAATATGATAGGGCGGAAAGAAATTACATACTCTGCCCTCCTGTACTATTAACTGAACATGTACACACTGGTATACCATAGGGGACCGTGTTGGGACCGGTGCTTTTTCTTATTTACATCAACAGCATAACAAAAATCAATAACTTCGTTGGCGATATAATATGCTTTGCCGATGGTACTGCGATAATTTATGCCGGTACATCATGGCAAGAAATAAGAGTGACAGTAGAAACAAATTTGCAAAAAATATACATGTGGTTGAACAATAATAAACTATCACTGAATGTAAATATGACAAATTATCTAACACATTATTTTTCGAGTTAATCCCAACGAGCCATTTCATTTGATACCCATATTGTAGAAGTACTTTAAAAATAACTATTCCGCCATCTTGGATGGTCCGCCATATTGGATTTAGTATAACATCACACACCTTATGTGTGAACCTGTCGTTCAAACTAAACGTGTATACAAAATTTCAGCTCAATCGGTTGAAGATATCTACTTTAAAATTTTGTTCAAAGATTCCACCCGAACTAACATACATACATACATCCATACATGGCAAGTTAAATAAAAGCATTTAAAATAAAACACTCTGTACAAACCCAGGATTCCCAACTCCGTACTCTGAATTTCCGACTCGTATCTCATAGAAACTGAAATTTCTTGTATCTCATCAGAATTCCCAGCTCAAACTCCGAATTTCGAAATTTTCTAATGAGAAAATATCATATTGTAAATAAATGAAAAGATAACTCTACAAACAGTCATCCTTCGTTTTATTAATTTCATGTGCAAAACGAAAATTGGAAGAATGTATAAATGAGTTGGCAGAATTCACTTACTGCCCCCTTCCTCCGCAAAAAATCTCTACTTTCATCCCTTCACTAGCAATACCAGTCAGACGAACTAGACAAGCCCAGTCAGCACATCCTTTCATTGTCAACCTCGAAAGATGTCGAACAGCACTTTATCAAAACTCCTTCTTCCATAGAACGGCTAGCCTCTGGAATTCATTGCCTGAGGAAGTATTCCCTACAACATAATTATAATCTCCAGAAGTTCAAAAAAAATTCCAATCCCTATCCTTCCTAGGAACGCACGATGTTCTTCGAGCATTATAGGGATTTCCTTTCGTGCGCTCCAAGCGATAAAAAAAAAGATACGATTCATATACAAAGAAATATGCTTATTTCTAGCAAACACCAGTACTTGTAGCAGGCAACCACGAGCAGAAGAAGAAATATCTGGGTAGGTTGATCGAAGAGCCATTGGTTGCTGCTTATGGTGTAACAGAACCAGGATGTGGTTCGGATGTCAACGGCATCAAAACTCGCGCCGAAAAGAAAGGTGATGAATACATTCTGAATGGACAGAAGATGTGGATCACCAATGGAGGTGTCGCCAATTGGTAAATTGTCCATTTTCTCTCGAAGTTAACCACGCAAACCGGGTCAGCAATGGTAGAGTTCTTGGTTACCAACCGGTCTGACCGACCGGTTGTTAATGGCACGTGACTGATCACAATGACAAATACGATTGGTTTCGACCGGTCGCTTTTATAGGTCGCGTGCACGATGACCGACCCTGGAGGTAAAACATTGAAACACAACCTCACTTTTCTGTAAAACCTTGAAACACAACCTCGCTCTTCTTATTTGTTTACAAAGTAATCAAAGGATTGAAACAGTTTTTCACAATATTTTGGGATACGAATTGTGTTTCTTGGGCTATTCATTAAGTCAAGCATACCATCACATTGCTCTGTTGTACAATGCACAAAAAATGCAGCAAGAGAGAAAGGAATATATGACTTTTCAGGAAAATAGTGATCTCACATAGTTTTCATTATGAAAGTTTGTCATTTCCCATTAGAATTCCTTCTGCCACTTCCACAATAGATGCTAATACTGTAAATAGAGTGAAAATGTCTACAACACACACGATCATATTTCGTCAGCAGGTCAGACCAGTCCTCCCGTTGGATTGCACGAATCCAACCTTCTTTCCGAAACTTTTATTATTATTATTTCTATTAGCTCCTATTGCAGAAGGAATTCGAATGAAAAATGACAACATTTCAAAATAAAAACTATATGTGAGTGACTACAGTACTTTTAGATCACAATGAACTTTATCTCACCTACCTGAAAAATCGAAATCCTGTGTCTTGCTGCATTTTTTGTGCATTGTACAACAGCACAATGTAATGAGTTATTGAATAGCCGAATAACAGGATTCTTATGCCAAAATAACTGAAAAACTATTTCAATCCTTTGTAAACAAATAAGAAAAGTGAGGTTATATTTCAATATTTCACCTCCAGGGTCGGTCATCTGACAGATCTTGCACGCAACCTATACTAAACGACAAAAACCTCAAAAACAGTGAACTGCTCAATCGTTGATATACCGAAAATAACACCTATCCTGATACCATAAAAATCAGAGATATATTAACAATCATCTCTTTTATCAGTCATTGAAAAACTTCAGATAGATTTTGTGGATGGGATAATAATTTTGAACTGCCTACCAGAAATATTTCGCTCAAATGAATCATACAGAGATGTAACGCTATTTTTGTTAAATTATAAGCAATTTGAGTCATTCATTTTGAAGACTGTAGATACCCTTGCCACGTTTCGACTATTTTCTTTGAGGTAATATTTTATATCCTTGAACCACATCGACCAACAAAAAGCCCAGGCGATGTGGTCTTGAATCGGTCGGTCATGGTCTTCAATAAAAAAAACGTCACCATTTCCAAATTGTTCTAGAATAATTTTAGAACAATTTGGAGATCGGCAATGCGGTCATCAATAGCAGAAACCCTGCAGTCGAAATGTGATCCAAGTGGTCGCAATCGGTCGGCAATCAATAACTCTCCCAATAAGTTAACCAGTCAATTTCCCTCAAAGACTATTCCAAAATATGACGTAGTAGTTAACCGACCACACAGACCAGCTCGCTTAGGTAGTTCACGGAGTAGTTAAGACTTTTGATTGGCACTGGATTGAGCTCTTGTTGTTGTCATAATCTGAGGTTATAATTGATACTTCTTAGAGATAATTATGGATGCATAGAAAGTATTGAGATCTCGTCATATTATTGATGAAAATAAATATTTTGAAATTTTTTTTTAATTTGAAGTACTTAGTTCCTATATCTATGATATATTTTTGTTACAGATTATGCATTTCTTATTCAATATTTGAGTATTTATTAATATAGCCATGAACATTCATATGGTTTACATACATTTTTAGGTACAGGCAGTATTTTACAAAATGAGTTTTGAACGCTTTTAAATAGGAGAATATATTTTTGGATTGCCTATCAAAAGGTGACCGCAAATATTTTTAAATAAAATTGATTTTCGGGAAAATATGTATCCATTTGTTTCTTAAATATGGTATATTCCACCTTACAGCTATGCATGTGAAGTACTTAAGAAGTGATTGTTGCTGTTGTGCACTTGGCCACAACTTCTTTGCAGCCAGGTCCAAACAGGTATCATTTTGTTACAATGGGCGAGTGGACTTATAATGAATTATTGGCATTCAATTACTCCACTGTGTCGTTAAAAACCTAAATTAACTTTTGCAACACTTCTCACGGTTTTTTATGTGAATAATGACTTTATGCGTTGTTCGAAATTGTTGGCGATACGTCGAATAAATGGTGACGTCAGTTTTTATGCTGTTTCGTTATTGGTCACATGATCTTCCATTTTCACTCATGAAGCAATGTTATAAAGTCACCAATTATAATCAAGTAGTCCTTTCGTTGTATAAAACATGATAGGAGGAAGCCATGATCATTCATCATTCTCGACTTTTTCGAGCAACCAGCATGTTCATATATTTCTTATTCTCCATAACAAAATATCTTGTAAATTTGAAGACTTGGCAACATTGTGCTGAATGCTGAGAACTGACAAGACCACGCCCACAAGTCGTGCGCCGTGATGTCACGTTTACCGACTCAAATGTCTTCTAGTGTGAACTAATATAATTTTATTTACACAAATTTATTATAAGCAATAAGGTACAAATCATAAGGAAACATTTTGAGACTTTATTGCTAATTAGGAATATTACCAATACTCAATTGAGAATTTATGAATTATTGAATAACTAATATTTCTCAAGTTCCCAATCGCATTTCAATACATGGCAACTGTGCTATGGTTTACCCCTACTTACGAAATCGCGGCGTCAGTTATTACTGGCGGTAAATTTGTAGCCGTTTGAAAATTACCGAGGCATTATTGATAATTTTAGCACCTGAATATCGACCGAAAAATTCTGAACAAATATGAAATTAAATGGTATTTGAGTGATGATTCTATTTTAGAAAAAAAACAAATTAGTCCACTCGACTATTATACTTTTATGGCGTTTATGATCGTTTTGGTATGAAATGAGAGCTATTTTTTTTGTCGTGTATGATAGAATAACTGCCAATGCAAATATGGCCTCAAATAGGGGTTGTCAGCTGTTCGAGATAGATATATTAGATCGGAAGAGAGTTTTTCTTATCTCTTGGAACTCACGAAAGGAAATTCCTATAATGTTCATGGAACATCGTGCGTACTTAGGGAGGGTACGAGGAGGTAGGCCTTGTTTTTTTTTCAATTTCTGGATGTTATAAGTTCTTGGGAATACTTCCAATGGCATGCGTCGGAAGCTAGTCTTATATAAGAAGCTAGTGCTCTCAACCAATAGCGCAAACCGTAGTTAATGAAACATCTGATACTTATATATGGTTATATAAAAGAAAATCAAAACAATGCGCGAAGTGAAATAGGGCGCGAAATACCTACTTCGCGCATTGTTATGTGAAATATATGAGATATTTATATTTCAACTTTATGGTCCTCAATCGAGCGAACATCCAGGAAATCATTCATTTCTAAATGTTCAACAATAACTTTGTTTTATCTCTTGGAGTGCACGAAAGGAAATTCCTATTACGATCGTGGAACATCGTGCATACCTAGGGAGGAGAGGGGGAGGCCTTTTAGTTTTAAGCCAGCTCAACACTATTTTATTTATAAAGCTAAGCATATTTTTACTTTAGAACTATATTTTTTGACGTTTGTAGAAAAAATGTTGTTTGCAACTCGAGCGCGAAATACTTTGGTCATCTCGACCATTTTTTCAACTCGGCTACGCCTCTTTAAAAAAATCAGATCTCGATCACCAAAGTAGCATTTCGCGCTCTAGATACAAAAATAACTATTATGCGACGATACAATAACTTCAAAAATCACTTTTCAAATGATCATTGAAGTCGAGCTCATTGTCGCCTATATGACACAGAAGGCACTTCTTCATATTTTCAAATATGCCTTATATTAGCAACGAACATTATCGGAATTTTCTTTCATTCGCTCCAAGAGAAAAAAAAAATAATAGAAACAATGCTGTGTACTACGCACTTGACGTGAACGTTCTAATGATCAATTGATATTATTTTAAATAAAATTACTCGCGGCCACATTTCGATAGGCAACCCGGTAAAAATATATTCTCCTATTCAAGAATTATGTTTAAATTAGATTTTCATTGAATACTTGATGAACGTAGTAATCTTGCAGTTGGACCTTGTACTATTAGGTTTATAATACAAATAAGTTCATAGTAAACCAAGTTGTTCCTCCTTTGCTCTAGTAGACTTCATATAATCAAGTGGGAGTTAATTATTTTTTCAAGACGAATAAACGTCACCCAACAGATTCGTTGAAGTTGGCGCCCAACCTGTGGTATGACATGAATTGGAGAAAATTACAAACGCCGTTTTTTCCTTAGATTGTTGTGAATTTTCCGTATCATTATTGAAATTCACTCTATTTCAAAATATAAGAATCATGCGGGAAAGGGTGTGACGTCAACCAATCTAATTTTCTGTTTTCTAGGTATTTTGTTTTGGCAAGAACAAATCCTGATCCAAAAGCACCAGCTAGTAAGGCATTTACAGGATTCATTGTTGAAAGGGAATGGGAAGGAGTAACGCCTGGTAGAAAGGTATATGAAAGATAAAAGCAATTTATATTTTCATTTAAAGTACCACCCCTACATCATATGGAAATTTTGTATGCTAATTAATTTGTACCATGTTCTATTTGGGGACACTTTCTAATTCAAGGAGGACTAGAAACATTCCGCCGATTAGTTTTTCAGGAAGGCCATGATAAAATGAGAAGAATTTGATATTTTTTCATAAAATGCCAATACATTTTTTTATCTACACTCCTTCTCGGTTTTTGCTATGTAACAGAAAATTAAGCCAGCAATTACATCAAATGAATTACTATAGTTACTACATTTCACATTGCAATGAAATAATTGGTGTCACTTTATTTTCAAATTGTGAAAATAATTGCAGGAAATTAATATGGGCCAAAGATGTTCAGACACCAGAGGAATAACGTTCGAGGATGTGAGGATTCCTAAAGAAAATGTTCTCATTGGCGAAGGCGCCGGTTTCAAGGTTGCCATGGAGACGTTCGACAAAACTAGACCACCAGTAAGATAACTGATATTATCCTTCTGATATTCAATATACACTTCTCAAGGCACTAAGTGCACAACCCTGAATTTCACTCTTTTTCGACATGTAGCTGTGATTTTTTTATTTGCAGCAAATTTGCGGTGATGACATTATCATTACCTCCTGTGGAAGGTAATAGTAATTTTCTTAACAAGTGCGGAAAGTGAATTCAAAAAGTAACTTTTCATCACATTTGACACTGCCGAACCATATTGATTTAAAAAATTGTCTACTTTAGATTCATAATATTAAAAAAGTTACTGAAACATGGAAAACTAATCACACAACAGCCGGAAAACCAATTACAACAAACACGACAAATTACATTTTTCCACCACTAGTTATAGAACCTATCATTATTTACTCCTTTTGAAGGCCTAAAGCTAGTTTTCCTCATTTTATGAACCACTAGTTAACAAAGACATAGTAACGCGAATTCAGTGTTCTGATGCGATATTCACAGAAATGGCACTCAAATCTAGTAGGTAGTTATCAATAAGGACTTGTCATATGCTATCATGGTGACTAGATTTCAATTAGAATTGAAAAGAAGTGCTTTCATAGTGACATTGGTGCACATTTCAGTTTCAATATATTGCTAGTGGTGAGAAATATTTAATATACACCTTGGTAGTAAAGAATATCATCACTACGGGCTGAAGCCTCAGGATATTCTTTACTACCTTGGTGTGTAAATAACTATTCTTACAACGATTATTGCTTGTCTACTACAAAACTTTGCTATGTTCATCTTTGAATATTTCATATTCTTGATTTTTTTGTGTACCATATAATAACTACAAGGTCCTACCTTCAAAGGGTTCTAGCTCTCTTAGGAAGCATTTTCAGACACATGTTGATAGGAACATTTTTTCTTATCTTCCTTCCGGAGTATACAAACGTCTGGGTAACACTGTATATATAAAACGAAATAAACATTGTGATGTACTGGTTCTGAATTATGTCTTGTTTATCAAGAATTGCAGAAAGCAGGACGAATTAAAGGAGTGTGGGTTTCAAATGGTGAAATCACTACTGACGAATGTAATTTTATATGTATAATCTAAAGAACACAGTCTATCTAACATCTATAGATAACTAAACTACCCCAAAGTCCCAAAATAATGTCTAGTAAATACTGAGTCAACACCACGTAAACACGAAGTATAACTGATGATTTCAGTAATGTATGATAGTGTACTTGGAGTATCCACTTACGACTCACTAACAGCTCTGGTGGTAAACAGTTATAATCGCCACATCAAACAGCAATACTCTATTCACTTGCGGAATTCTATCCTCAGGAACATTCGAATACCATTGCAGACGATGAATATTATCTGAATTGGCGAAACGTACCCAATTCAGCGATATGAATAATAGCGACAATCTCTGCCGTCATCTCGAAAGATCTCTTGACAGTTCTCTACTTTTACACCTCCCGCAATCGTGATGAAGGTTCAAAATCAATCAAAATCACTGTATATGATGAGAATAAGGATGCAAAGTAATTATGTTTTCAAACTTCTGGATGGTTTTAGTGAAGTGGGATTTGAGTTGTGCAACAGAAAGCAGTACGACCATAATTAGTAGGGTGGATTTTCACGTAGAAAGTGTGACAGGTTCTCGTAGCCCTAGGACTGGCGTGAAATTATCATTTTTCCAATATTTCAGGGCAGTTTATAATGCCAGTCACAATGAATGAAAATTCAATCAACTGAAAAAAAAAGGAATAATGGGCTTGTACCACAAAAAATAGATAGAATTGATAGAACTCACCCAAACTAGCTCATCACCGCAAACCGTTTCTTGCTGTGAGCTCCCTACGTGTTATAAGAAATTATTGAAATCCCCGATTTTTCAGACCTCTGAAAACGAGGCGATGATGTGACGTCAAAACCCTAATACTGAAACAAGACTATTCCAGACAGAGATGAATGATACATGATTTCCGACAGAGTGAATTATCGCGAGATCACAGTTGGAAGAATTAATATATCAGTTGCCTCAGTCTCCGTCGGGCGTTTGGTATTTTATTTTAACTATGGCCAGAGGCCAGATGAGGTTTCTCTACGTCGTAAGAGGGTCCGTTTTCAGAACGTACTATTATTTATGTCCAAAAATATAACATTCCAGTTAATTTTTCGATCGAATTATGTCGTCAATAATTATTTATGTATAAAAGGATCATTATAAACATAGTTCGAGTTAAAAGTTCTACTAAGGTGAACACGCCCATCCGAGAGAGTCCAATGATACTTTACCAAACGGAAGAGGAACTTGTGAGATACAACTGAAAGTCTAGATATTGTAGAAATGGATTTTTTACGCGACTTTTTGAATCACCTTGTATTTTCACGAAAAGAACATTCTGATCGATGAGAGGATATAGGAGATTTGAAAATTGATTCCCAATTCTCATATACAGAGATATCAAAAAAGATATCAGTTAAAAATTATTAAATTTTGTCTAGACATCACTCTTCACGATTATGAAAAAATAAATCATCTGTGATCATCCAAAAGATTTAGGAGTGCGATTATTGACTCTCACAGTAGAGTAAGTTTAGTTGAAGGTTTTTATCAGTTTACTCCGAGTTAATTACTATTTCATGTAGTATTCATGAGTATTCAAACGGAATTTTGAGTTAGTTCATTGACATCTGAGATTAACATGAACATGTGGGTTATGTTTGTCAATTTGCAAGTTCAGTCCATGAAATACGGATTTTGAAAGTAGTAGATCTTTATATTCCAGCTGCAAATAAATAACATTGATTGTCGCTTATCAATGTTGAAATCATAGATTTGTCTACATCAATAGAACCTCAGTGTCACTTTCTGAAGATTTTATGAATTTTTTCAACGTCAAAATATGAAGCAACTCATTTCAGTCACATAAGTCATGGTGGTCATGGATCAAAAGAAGTAGGGTCATTTGCAATCAAACTAACAGTATATGTGGTCATCAAATTGTTGATGGTTCGAAAGTTATTACATTTTTCTGGAAAACGCGAAACATTTGAAAAAAATTAATATCAAAAAGGCAGAATTTAAAAGGGTTTGTTTGACTTTTGAATCACTCCATATGTTATATCATTTCGGAATCTGTATTGAAAGGGCAACTTTTTCTTATTATTGGTTATCTTTGCGAGGTAGTTTTTAAAACTGCCAGGGGCATTGAAAAATCAACTAAAATACTTCATTCATTGACAAGACTTGAAGAAAACAACATTTTTTTTAGGCAATTGATACGAAGTAAAACAGGTCAAGAGAATTATGTCTGGGGAGAAGTGCATCCATGTGGATGAAATTCGTTAAAGAAAAAAATCACAAAAGTTACATAGTTTTATTGTAATAATTTTTTTAGAAATGAAAAAAATTGATAACTTCAACCATCAACAATTGGATAACCACATAGTATATGGTTAGTTAGTTTGATTGGAAATAACCCCCTCTACCACATCCCACTACCTCTGATCCATGACTTATGAGAAATCTGTATATGTCTTTAATGCTGTTGTAAAAGGTACTTACCAAGTTTGATTTCTTTGAGGACCTGAAAACAATCATAATCTGCTTGTCAAATGGACCCAACCTGATTTCAAAAAAAATAAACCAAACTTCTTCATCTTTGTTCGCCCTAGGTATGCACGATGTTCTTCGAACATTATAGGGATTCCCTTTCATGCGCATCAAGCGATAAAAAGAAATAACTGTTAAATCAGTAGAGTAAAACAAAACCCTCCTATTTCGTGGAGTTACATGATTTAAACTTGGCGTCAAAAACTCCTCTATTTTCGAACGACAGCAACAAAGTTGAATATGCACAGTCCAACAAATTCCGAAAGCAAAATAGTAAATTCTACTCCATGTACGTATTCGAACGCACCCCAGGTGTATCAACATGATTTTCAAGTAATCAGAAGTGGAGTTCACAAAAACTAATTTTTCTTCTGGATAACTTCTTTCAGAGAGTTGGGTAGACACCTAGAGATTTCATCAAAATAAAGCCATTTGATTAATCGAACTCCCACAATGTTGGTTCTACATTGGTAGAGCCATGCTGATATTTCATACATGGGATGCGAGCATATTTTTATCTAATACGCGAGGATATCGTGCCGCCTTCTTCCTGCTCCCATCTCGATTTCACTGGCACTCCATACGAAATACGAAGTCAGCCGCCTTGATATGTTCCCTTGGTTCCTTGCTGGATCCCGTAAAGGAGACCATAGACTGTGTTGTTGATGGGCTGTATTGTTCGTCGAACAAGCATGTTCGAACAAAAATGGCGCATAACCGAAGTGTGTGGTGTGTGGTTAGGGAAAACGACTATTTTGCAGCCACACATTTCCGTTTTTTTCTACATTTTTGTTCGAACAGAAAAAATTCCTCGAGTTCGGGCAGCATTGGAAATGTAGACCATAGTGTAACGGTTCCACTCTACACCCTGTGTAAGTTTTGTTCTGCGGACTTTTTCAGAGTGTTCTAGCTCTCTTTGAAGTCGATGAAACATCACATCTGATATCGAAAACCGCATGAAGATCGGTAAATTTTTTCAAAAAACACAGTTCTTCGAAATAGAGTCAAATTATGGGTAGTCCATTTAGTATGTTGAGAACTGTCTATGACGGTTTGGCTAATATCGAAGGAGAACACACTATTGACTCACCCTGTATAACTTGACAAGTAAAATGTGAATGATATCCGATGTTCATCTCAGGTGGCGGCAGGAGCGACGGGGCTCGCGCAGAGGTGCCTCGACGAGGCCTCGAAGTACGCAATCGAGAGGAAGGCCTTCGGAGTGCCGATCGCCCACCACCAGGCCGTGGCCTTCATCCTGGCCGATATGGCCGTCGGCGTGGAGACGAGCCGGCTGGCCTGGATGAAGTCCGCCTGGGAGACCGACCACGGTACGTATTATTGGGGAGGGAGGGGATTTCTAAGCGATTTTTTCAACTATCAGTAGGTTTTCATCACTATGAACAAAAGATTTTGACAGTAAAAAAAGAGTACCAATACCTTTGATGCAAACTGACGTATTTGTCATCTAACAGGGTACGGACATATCCTCGTCTCCTCTCACTCTAAAGTGTTTGTGAAACAGTGATATAGTTCCATCTTTATTCATTTCTGGGGATAAACACTAGATTTCTTACATTTGTTGTTTTTTAGGTTATATTGAGGACATTGGCGTATCATACGTAATTTCCACATGTAATTTCTCATTCAACTCTACATATTATATCCAAATGATCATGATAATTTTCGAGTTTTTGATTTTTCAACTAGCATAATCTTTATGAGGCAAATTTTTCTGAGAGTCTTACCAAATGGGACTGTTTTTGGGCAGTACCTATCAATAAATGAATTTTGATTTCAGACTAAGCCTTATACAATACAATACAATACGTTTATTTTCCATTAGACATTTTTACATGTATACGAATCGTCAGATTGAAGGCTTAAAACTAGACAGTTTGAGACAGAGACATAAGATAAAATGATAATATTTAGATATTACAGAGACAGAAACAAAAAGACTAGGCTGCCGAAAAATAGTCTTCTAAAGTATAGGGATTCATTTCCAGTAGGAATTGCTTCAAGTTCGTTTTGAAATGACTGAGTTTTTTGAAGTTTTTCAATCGACTGGGAAGTTTATTGAAAACTTTGAGTCCAAAGTAATTGGGAGAGTTACGTGTAATCTCATATTTACACATTGGAATGTGATAATTGTCACATTGTCTTGTACTTATACCATGTATATTAATATTAGTAATGAATTTTTCTTTGTTCAAAAATACATAAACACATAATTCAAATACAAAAACACCAATGACAGTTAAAATGTTGAGACTATTAAAAATATTTCGGCAAGATTGTTGACTAGGTATGCCTGCTATTATTCTCATAATCCTTTTCTGTACAATAAAAACATCCGGTGATAGAGTAGAGTTACCCCAAAAATTTATACCATAGCGGATTCGGGAGGAAACTTGAGCATGATAGAGCAACAACAGCTGTTCTTCTGTAAGTATTGTTTTTAGACTCCAAAACATATAACAGAGAGAATTTAGTTTGTTTATCAATTTGTTACAATGGTATTTCCATGTTAAACATTCATCTATGCCGATTCCTAGGAATGTTAACTCATCAACATTTCCCAGCTGATCACCATGCACAGATATATCTATATTTGAACAACGTTTTTGCCGATGATGAAATCTCATTACGTTAGTTTTTTCTACATTAAAGAGGAGTGAGTTAATACTACACCAAGAGATCATTGTATCCATAACGTTGTGGCAGTGTTCCGATAGATTATCGTCATTTTTGTCTGATATGAGTATAGTAGTATCATCAGCATAAATTACATAATGCGAATTATCGGTGAGACTATCCAGTTCATTGATATAGCATAGAAACAAAATAGGTCCCAAAACAGATCCCTGAGGGACTCCTACACCAACAGCTTGATAGTCAGAATTTACTCTACGGTAAGAAGTTTATTGATACGTATTGTCGTCTGTTCTTGACGAAAGATGTGATCCATTCTAAAGCTACTCCTCGTATTCCGTACGTGTACAATTTGGAAAACAGGATGTCGTGTTGAACGCAGTCAAATGCCTTGCTAAGATCGCAGAAGATCCCAACAGGACATTCTCCTGCTTCGATTGATTCAATAACTTTTTCATAAAATGATAATGTAGCGCTATCAATAGATTTATTTGTGAGAAATCCATGTTGACTCTCTGAAAATATCTTATTAATTTCAAAAAAGTTCAAGAACCGTTCAAGAAAGGAATATTCGAAGACTTTTGAGAAACACGAGGGAATAGTGATTGGTCGATAGTTTGTCATTAGTGAGGCATTCGACTTTTTGTGAATGGGGACAACTTTTCCCGTCTTTAGTTTTGTTGGAAAATCGCCCGAGATAAAAGATAAATTAACCAAGTAAGTTAATGGTTCAATTATGTATACGAGGCATTTCTTCATTAAAAATGTTGGAACCTCATCCGGGCCTGAGGAGTGTTTATTTTTTATTTTTGTTTGAAGTAGATGTAAAAGTTCCTCATTACCGAAAGGTTTCAAAAATATTGTGTTCTTTCGAATCTTTGGAAAACCAGCAGTATCCTTCGTAACATTAGGTATATTTTTCATGACTTCGTTTGGCGCATTAATGAAGAATTCATTAAATAACGAGGCGACTATATATGGATCTTCGACAGTAGTGTCGGTTGAGAAATAGTGAAAAATGTTATGTAGGTAGGAACTAATGTGGTCGTATGTCATGTGTGCTGTATATATTCATGTTGGGAATCAGTTTTGCAGTTTTTCACGAACACTTGATATTTCCGTAATGTAGGTATAATTTTTTAAATGATAGGGCATGAGCATCTTTTAATCCTCCGTTTTAATCAAAACTGTTTCAACTAAAATGCATTCAAAAACTTGTGGAGTGGATAATTATAGGGACAATGAGAAAGTAGATAGATAGATAGATAGATAGATAGATTTATTGTATTAAAAGAATTACAATTCTTATTACAAGGGTTGGGTGATCTGTGATTAATAATACATGAGAACTTATAGCTAAAACGAAAACAAAAAATCCTTCCTGCGGGACCTACATAGGCATTGAAACAATAATTGATATGCAAATTACTCATTCACAGCAAAAAATCTGAGCTTCAACAAATTGATCAGAACCTGTACTAGGAGTTTCAAGTCAGCTAGGCCACCGTAATTCAGAAGATATATTAAATCATCAAGAGATTCAACGTCTTGAAATAATCGACAATCCCTGATACCAGCATAAACTGGACATTCAAAGAGAATGTGTTCCAAAGATTCCGGTCTGTGGAGATTGCAAACAGTGCATTCTTCTTCAGTATTTATTCTATACACTATTCGATTGAAGGTAATTCTAAAGAACGACTTACTGCATGTCCTTAGTTGAGCGATAATTCTAGTTATATAGATGGGAACGGGCGCTTTGAGGTAGTTTTGAACATTTACCCGTAGAGAGAGACTTTTATAAATGAGAGGATACGAAGATTGGCTCAAACTATCTAAATCAATGCTTAAAAGTTCATTGTTGAATTTGTGCAGAAGAGAAGTTATAGCTTTCTTGGAACTATTGAGCAGAAACTGTTGCCAACGATCGACCATTCCGGCAAAAGAGAAGTATTGTTTGACCTGCAATACCCAGTTGTATTTAGGATCAACGTTATCAAGTCTGAGCAATCTTAAAAAACAGAGCTTTGGTAGTCGATGGTTGTCCATTGAGTTGAGAAGTGCAAAATGTGAAAGAGCAGCAGTGAAAATCAGATGAGAAAGTTTTATTGAGGAAGTTTCCAGACGAACAATATAGTCTGGAGTATTTTTGACAATGAGAAAGTATAATATGTGATTTCATATTAGTTTTACCTCGAATATTTTGCTGATGTATTCACCAATTTTCCCCATTCGGTCACTTCACTTTCCATGTTCTAAGTTCATTTGCATTTGATGGAAATTCAAATATGCCATCCAATTGATTGTACATCCTAATGCAGCACATTTTACCATCCTTCCAAAACAGAATTGGATAATGTCGTATTAAGATCAAGTATGAAATTAAAATTTTGTGTAAGATCTCTTTTAACGCCTATGAATGTGACGTGACATCAATGTCACTAGGTGATTAAAAGAGAAAGGAGCTATATAATCTGTCTGTACCCAGTAAAGATGACAAATTCGTCAATTTACATCAAGAGACCCTACCTATACCTACATTCAGTATCAACTATAATAACACAAATGGGAAAAGTGCCACTGGTGATATTTTTTCGCAAATTTTGCTTCCGTTCGGCTTCGCTAAACACTCCGCCTCGCAAATGCAAAATTAGCTTGTCAAACAAAGTGTCACTTTTGATCCTCATAAAATAATCTACTATTTCTCTTCTTCTACACATTTCCTGAAACGAAAAATAATGCATGATACGAAATATTTTCTAAACATATATTTCTGAAGATATTTTGTGTGAGAAATTTTTCTACCAGACCAAATTATCCTAAAATTGTTCACAATCATACTTTTTGGAATTGAACTGTGCTATGTGATCAAAATAGATTGCACAGTATATATATTCAGCCTATTTCGTTGATCAGTCTATTGACTATTCATAAGAGAAAAGAGTCTCTCAATGTATGCATTTTGTGCTGAAACTTACCACAGAAACTTGAATTGAAACAACCAGAGAACATCGGATATGACATCGATTTACAAGTGATGAATCAGATTTCATTGTTTCCTGAACTTCTTGCAGTTTTTCCATATTCTTTATTAATTGTATTGTCAAATTTTGACTATATGCCTTCTAGACGGGTCCGACTTCAAAAAAGTGGGCATTTACTTCCCAAATATATATAAAAAAATATAGTACAAGCAGGACAACAGCCTTGAAAGAGAGTAATTGTACTAAAAAAAGATTAGGTCTGGTCGCCCTAGTCCAGGCACTTATTATACAGGGTGATTCAAAATTTGTTGTAAATATTTCAAGGACGTATTGTATGGATATATCTCTGTAATCATTTTCGATAGACAAGTGTGATTTATCGATGAAATTAGCTCTTCAGGGATAATCTGAAAATGCAATAAAACACAGGTCATTCTATTGAAATAACAAAGTTGTTGCTAAAATAAGATCAAAACTTGTTGAATGTCCTACCGGATATCGTTCATTTTGGTCCTTCGTCAAAGCTGTAGGAAGAAACTTAACTTCCAGCTAGTTTCCTCCTCTAACCAAGGAAGATCGACCACTAGCCACAACTGCCCAAGAGAAAGCCAATATTTTTGCGCATTTGTTTATTTGCTGGAAATTCCACTATAGGTTCATCCGGAATACAACCTTCAAACATAACGCCAATTGACAGTCATATGCCCGAGATCACCTTTCGCCAACGTACTATAAGGAAGATTTTATTGGGTCTCAACACCAACAAAGCTTGTGGCTCCGACGGAATCCCACCGATCGTTCTCAAGAAATGTGCTCCCGAACATCTGTTCTTTGCAAGTTGTTCAACAACTCTTACAAATTGGGGATATTCCCGTCAGACTGAAAAATTGCAAGAGTACAACCAGTTCCTAAAATAGGCAAACAGACCCTACTCAGCAACTACAGATCGATCACACTGCTATCTATTATTTCAAAGATTATGGAGAAAGCTATCAACATCGAGCTGATGAAATACCTGGAACATTCAGGTATTATCAACGATAGGCAATATGGCTTCCGTCATCAAAGATCAACTGGTGACCTGCTCGCTTACGTCTCACATATATGGCAGCAATCTATTGGAAAATATGGTGAAACCTTAGCCGTGGCACTTGATATCTCCAAGGCATTCGATCGAGTCTGGCACCACGGAGTCCTCGCCAAGCTTCCATCTTATGGCTTGCCTCCCCAGCTATGTTCTTTGCTAGCTAGTTTTCTCTCAAACAGGTATCTCCATGTAGGGGTCGACGGAGTTTCATCTGACTCTCTTACCATAAATGCTGGTGTTCCGCAAGGATTAATTCTAACACCAACACTATTTCTACTCCATATCAACGATTTGTTGGAAGCAACTTCATGTTCAGTACACAGCTTCGCGGATGATAGTACCCTCCATACCGCCTTCTCTTCCAGGGCTCCAATACAACATAAATATGGACTTGGCAACAATTCTCGAATGGGGATCCAATAATTTGATAGATTTCAATGCAAATAAAACACAAGCATGCCTTTTCTCTAGAAAAGCCGATCTCACTGTACCCAACATAAGCTTGTCAGGAGTAACCATACCTTTGAAGACATCCATTTCGATGCTTGGTATTACTATCAGCAATAACCTTTCTTGGGAAAATCACGTGAGATCAATTGGTAAAAGTGCATCCCAAAAACTTGGTTTTATGTTCCGGGCCAGGAGCTATTTCACTTCTAGTCTACTGCGTATGATCTATAAGGCACAGATCCGACCTGTCCTGGAATACTGTTCTCATATTTGGAGTGCAGCACCCAAACATACCCTGAAACTGTTGGATTCTGTCCAAAAAAGGGCAATTCGGCCCGTGGGTGATGCCTTGCTCACAAACACTCACTTTTCTGGAACACCGTAGAAAAGTTGGCGATCTGGTTCTATTTTATAGATATTTTTATGGACGATGCTCTCCTGAAATATCAACAATTGTTCCTCCCTTGGCAGTCCCCGCGAGATTAACCCGTCAAGTTGAGGCTTCGCACCCCTTCATGGTCACTTTGGAGACCTGCAGAACATCTCTTTCCAAAGACTCGTTCATCCAACGAACAGCGAGGCTCTGGAACACATTGCCAAGGGAGGTGTTCCCCGAGGCATATAACCTCCAGAAATTTAAGAAGAACACCAATTTCTACCTTATTTTCCTCGGTTCTCACGATGTTCTCTGAACATTACAGGACATCCCTCTTCGTGGGAACCAGAACATTTAAAAAAAACTTTTCGATAGAAGCGGCAACACTGCATTGCTGGAAATATTTTAAATGACGAGAGCGTATTCTAAAATATAAGCATGCATATTTTCATGGATTTCTCCCGACTGATTCTCGATATAGAGATAGTGTAAGCTCGTCGTGACATAGCCTGTATAGCAGATACGTATTAATTAATCCGATTTTTTTTCGCGTTCAGGCATGAGGAACACCCTGGCCGCCTCCGTGGCCAAATGCCATGCCGCCGACGTGGCCAACAAGTGTGCCACCGACGCCGTGCAGGTCTTCGGCGGTAACGGCTTCAACAGCGAGTACCCCGTGGAGAAGCTGATGCGCGACGCCAAGATCTACCAGATCTACGAGGGCACTGCGCAGATCCAAAGGATGATTATTTCGAGGGTGGTTTTGGAAAGGGCCAAGCAGCTGGCGTAAAACTGGGTTCTGATCTGATGTGTGCGGATGTTCTGTTTTTCGGACGGAATCTGGCGAGAAGTCTAAGATGATAAGCAAGACACACTAAGTCATCTCCACAAATTTATTATCTGAATTATCAGTGTCTGATCATGTTTCGGACTATCAATAGTCCCTCATCAGCAGAAGCATTTTTTTAAAAGATAATTTGTGGAAGTAATTGTAACAATGTAAATTCAATTGTATAATATTATTGTTGCCTCCTTGTTTTCACTTCCACAAATTGTCGAAAAAAAAATGCTTCTACTGAAAATTCAGATAATAAATTTGTGGAGATGACTTAGTGTGTCTTGCTTATGAATTCATTCACTTCACTTCGAGATACCATAGACTAATCTAAAATGAGTTGAGCTCTCATGTGGGCGAAGTCTATGCGAACGCGAATCGATGCGACGCGATTTGGAGGCGATTCCGAACGAAGCGACGCGATGCAGCAGTGCTGTACTGTGTACTCCTCGCCATAGTCGCGTTCGTGAATTTGTATTTCCGTAATGGCAGGACGTATGAGTTTTTCACTTGGAAACTCACATCTCGAATACGAATTCCTGGAGAAATGGAGATGTCGAAAAGTGACACTAATAATATGAATCCACAAAGACACGAACCCGGACAACTTAATCAACAGCGTGAATCACGCGAGGATATCAATCCAATTGATCGCATCCCTTTGCCTGCTGCATCGTGTTCGTGGCTTCTCGCGTGCATTCGTTCACATAAGTAATATTCTTTTTACCAACTTTGACTGAGATTAACCGAGATTCTCAGTGCAGCTCAATAGCTCAGTTGCATTACATGTTTCATTTTTCTTAGTCTGATGTGAGTTGTCTTAAGAAGTCATTGAGACTATTTCTTTCCCCTCGCCCCAACTGAGCTTGCTATTCATCTGGTGTTGTAGTGAGAAAAAGGTGAGACTGGATTAATTCTAGTAATTCTGTGGTTCTGTGCTGAAAATTGTGAGGTTATCTTTTCATTTTGACATTCTTTCAGCTTTGAAGTTCCAGTCCACAGGTTGAATCCTTTGAATACTCACCACAATAATATTTTTATGTTCCTCATTTATTACCTCAGTCATGTTATATTTTGGTTGAATTATGTTGGGTTATGTTTTCTTCCCTTGCCCTTCCTGACAGATAAAAACGTGTTCTTTTTATTCATATTTTTCGTGGTTTGACATTTTGGCGTCACGTCACTTCGCTTTCGCATTGAGTTCGCCCACGTAGGACACCGCGCCTGATATACTTGACACTTTTGCTTTGACGTTTATCAATATTTGTAGCGAGCTAATACCATTGGGAAAATTCGTGCACACTGAGTGCATATAATGCGTTTGGTGTTGCACTCGGTTTAACAATAGGCGACTGAGATTAAGATCGTAGCGCCAGAACGGCGAATGTCGGTACTACTCTATGGGCCATTGGCGGATTGTTTACATTGTTTGGTAATGGTGTTTATGTTCATTTCGTTTTGAGTTTTCAAACGTCCAGCTTTGTTATTTGTCTATTTTCGAACTTTGTATTTTACAGCGGTCTACTGTGTTTTGATTGAGGACTATATTATCTCTGTTCAACATTAGATAACCTCCCTACCTCTAGTTGAACTTCATATATACCAACATGCATAGGCTGTAAGTTTTTATCATTATTAAACAAGAATTCTCATGAAAACCTGTGTGGAATGTTGATTTCCAATTCGAATATATAGCTGGGATATTCCCCTGATAGTGCATGATATTTTTAAAACAAAATCCAGCAAACTTTTTGGGAATAAAGTGTTCTTTGGAAGGTGAATTTAGGTAAACAGTTTCTACGTGACATTTTACAACATAATCATCGAAACCCTGATTGATAACATTCTTTACTGTTTAAAAATGCTACTGTTCATGAGTAAAGATATAATCAGTTTGAAATTTGTTTGTTCTTTTACCACCACCTCAAGAAGTAGGTATTATATTCATAATAGACATACATTTGAAAATATACCTATAGGTATGAGTAAATTTTCAGTGAAGTGTAAAGAACAATATCTCATTATGTTCAGACACTTTACACTTTTTCCAGTCTTCAAGTTATGAATCCACACCTTTCTCCTACCGATCACTTCCTTGTTTCCCAAATTATTAGTTTCAAATACAAATTTAGACTGTCCTGATTTTTGAAAGGAATGAAAGCTATACTCGGGATTTTTTTGCTCAAGATGAACAATGAGGTACACAACAATGATGACTCATGTTTTTAAACGTTTATAGAAGTTCTCAAACAAAATTATAGACAATTAAAACACAACTACTTCTCATACAAAATACACGCAAACTAATGTAAACAAAGCAATCAATGGCCCATACGTTAGTTATATTAGACAACGGTAGAGGGAGTACTCCTTAGCATGAATCGCCTATTTTCGCGCGTGCTCTAGGAGGTCGTGCGAGCCTAGTGCAAATTCAGTGCATCAGGCTGACCAAATGACCGATTTATTGAAGAATAATTTGAAAAACCCTTTTAGAAACTCAATTTACGGTTGCTAACATCATCATATCATGATCCTCTAGTAGCTAAAAAATAAATCATCTGATTTGTCCTTACTACACGTGTATTGACATAATATCGATATTATTCTTTTATAGAAACGAGGAGAGAAATTCCCAAATAATCTGGAATAATGAATTCGAATCTGTCATCGCAAGCGCTCACTTCCGACCGAGCTTCCGACTGAGTGATGCGAATTCCATTGGAATGAACTGGTTTAGTGTTTCTGCACTCAATGTATATGTTTCCTTCTTACTCGCGTGTGTTGAACAGAGGTAAATATACTCAGTGGAGAAACACTCTGCCAGTTCCTGCCAATGGAATTCACTATTTTCAGTTATGCAAATTTTCTCTATCCTTCACAATGTTGGCGTTTTTTGCGTCTATTACTATCAGTCCATAAGAGCGAATAATTTCCTCTTACATTTTTCTGTTCAGTACTACCAACGTAACCATAATAAAATATAGAAAGGTGCTCTATTTTTTGCCTTGTCTATCTTCTAGTCTGTGCCCTGAACTATTATCGATGTCATATATGTAACATGAATCAACTATAATACCATGGATAAACCGATGATAATTCTCTTCGAATTTTCGAAATTATTCAAGAACATATAATAATACTTATATCAAGTACTATACCTAGTTTGATATCAATTGTTAATGACCAATTAGATTAGATTAGATTTGGAGTGGGGCCTTCGGACTATCTGCCTCCACACTGCGACCTTTTCAGATCTATTGTGTCTGCCCTTAAAATCGATAAGAGTTCTTCGGCTAGCCCCGCCTTCTCCATGGGACTCCATAGGCTAGCTTTCAGATCTCCTGTGTATCTCTGGGCTGCTGGTTATTCCTCACCCAGTGTAAGGAACCTTAGTCTTGACAAGCCCTCACAGTGGCAAAGTATGTGTACTGATGTTCTTCTTCTTCTTCTTCTTCTTGACAGAACCTGCACAGCAGTTCTTCAGTCAGACCTATCGTACTCATGTTTTTGTTGAGCCTACAATGCCCTGTGAGAGGTCCAACTAGTATTCTAGTTGAACTTCGTTTCTGGCTTACTAGATATTCTGTGAATGTTGGCGATGGTTTTTTAATAAACTTTTTTGCCTGTCTCATTCCTGGCGAGTTGTTCCACCATTCTTGAGAACTTCATTTATTTTATTGGAATGAATTCGTGGTTTTATATGTTAACACCAAAATAGGGTATGTTTACGTTTATAGTAATTATGACTTATTATGATCGAAAGTAGTTCAACGGTACAGACTAGATGGAGAAAAGGAAATAATCATCGGATCTTTCTCTATGGCTTTGTTGGTAGCACTGAAGAGAAGATATGTTTCTCTCGTTCACAATTAGAGCTCAATTCATCATTCTGCATCTGCAAGAACCTTTGATAATTCATGGTGGACTTCTATTCACCTTATATTTGCTTTCCATACGAAATAGTTCCAAACAGTTAATTGTACATAACTTGATGTCTCCATAATTTTAAGAACAGCATAATACATACAGTGATTGTGTACCTACCTTATGATGATTATTATATAAATAATACCATTGAATATACTGGAGAGGTTGAAGTATGTACACTCAATGTCAAAATTTGAACGGAATATTTCCTGCCATTATTCAGCTGTGGTATTAATCAATAGAATGGGGAAACGGGATAAATAATTGAAATATTTCAACATGAGAAGTATGATCAAGATCAAATAAAAAAATTGTGAGTACAAGTATAATCAAGATCAAATAAAACGTTAATAACGATTTATCAACAATCGATTAAATTTAAGATCGCAGCGCCAAAGTGGCCGGTGATGAAGTAAATGAAAGTACATTGTTTTGAAATGGTTCATATGCTTGTGTGTATTATTTAGATGTTTTGGTAGTAGTTTGAGCAAAGAAAACTTCACTTTCGACTGTTTATTTGTGTACACTTGTGAATCGAGGAAGTTTTTTGCAGATATTCGTTCAATAAAGTATGTTTCACTACTACAAATACAAATGCCCCAATTTGAGGTTACGTTAGTTCGTATTTCGTTTCCATTCGGTAGTGAAATAAATATTGCAAATTAAGTGTTCACATGGAAGAGAAAAAGTCCTCAAAGCTGGATGTATATGCGAATACTTACCTACCTTTGGTAGGAAAAATTGAACATATTATGTGCTTTGCTTTTGAGTAAGAATTTCATTTTTTCAAATTCCTTCTGTAACTTCACTTCTGGGAATAGAATGCAACTGAATTCAATCTCGAAGTTGAGAGAATATTTTTCATTTAAACACTGGTTGAAATCATCATTTTCAGTGAAATGCAGAAAATTTTCATGAATAACATGTGAAACCAAGCAATAATGATTCGAGACTGAAGAATTCAAACTCGAAAAATATCACAATGACTACTAAACTCTCTATAAAATGCATGAAAGCTTGAATGTGAACAAACATTTAATGTATGTCGATCCAAAGTCAATTGGAGCACCTGAAGAAAAAACATAGCTACGCAGAGCGGTTTCGCTTTTTTTGAAGTTCGTTTGGAGTCCGTGCAGGTGGCAGACATCTATAGATTGGGTTTTGTCAATTCAATTTTTTTTTCCGCCCCCTGTATAATGAACATCAATGCATTGTACAACCAACTGACAAACGCTCCAGCTGACTCTGGATAGACATATACCTTATATCATTGTCTGCTAAATATGGAGAAAAAATCTAGTGAGCTGGAATTGCTGGTCTTCCCTATAGCCCATTTGAGTGTATGACCACTAGAGGATGTTACCGTATCGTACGAAATGATCTTCACTTTTTTCTAGAAAATTTTCGAAATCTGTGGTTATGTAAGTTGTCACTAGTTGTCAATGTCAAGAGCTGTCATGCCATCGTGACTTGTTTTGTATTTTTTTCTAAAATATTCTTTTTCAATTCTCATTGTTCTAATATTCCTTTCGCTTATAGATATAGTTTTGTGTTGTGCTCCCAGTATTATAGTAGTTTATTCTGATTATCAGTGTGTAACAAACTCTGTCTCCTCTTATTGTGCCTACCAAAAATCCATTCATGGATTTCCAAGTGATATTTCTCCGCGACATAAGTGGATACATTCGATACTGAGTGTTACTGGATCATTACAAGTAAGATAATCAGAGCCTTTATCAAATGCTAATAATCGATACTACTGATTTTACCTCTCATGGGAAAAACGATTCCATCTGGTTCAAGAATAGGTATCATGACAAATCATCATTTCCTATGAGAACTGAAAGCATTGGATCATTCTCCTATAGGATCTAATTCCTACAGATTCGAGAATCGGGCCTCGGAGCTGTAAGGGCCAGTATGCCAGTAAGGGGGCTCGGTCTCTACATATCTGTGATATCACTGATATCTCCACATTTGCATGAACTATTTTTGAATTTTTGAGTGACTAAGTGACCGTGACCCGTGAATGTCGTGACTGAACCTGAACAAACTACGCCGCCGTCCGAGACTGCCGAGAGCACCACTGAGGGAGGC